TGGGTGGTCTGAGGGAAAACGAAGGAAGGGCGGGCTGGTCCGCGCTGGGCTCTGCTGAAGTTTGGGGGGCCCCGAGAGCCCCAGCGTCGAGTGGGGGGGGGCTGGGAAGTCTTTCTCTTTCCTCTCGCCTCTTAGCGGAGCCGGCGGCCCTCAGCCGTTAGCTTGCGGCCCTGTCGGCGCCCGGTGTTTGCAGGAGCCGTGAGGCGCCCGCTGGGGTTTTGCGAACAGCGCGCTTTTTTATTTTTTTTTTTAAAAAAAACCATAAGTAGCCCTGACTGGTTCGGCTCTGGGTAGAGTGTCGGCCTGTGGACTGGAGGGTCCGGGGTTCGGTTCGGCCAAGGGCACGTACCTCAGTTGCAGACTCAGTTCCTGGCCGCGGTCGGGGTGCGTGCGGGAGGCAAACAACCCATGTTTCTCTCTCTCTCCGCCTTCCACTCTCTGAAAAACAATGGAAAAAACACCCTAGGGTGAAGATCAAGAAAAACAAAATAAGTGGGAGTCGCCCTTCCTTGAAGAAGGGCTGCTTGCAGCAGGAGCTTGGGCCCGAGCTTTCTCAAAACTTTCTTCTAGAAAGCTAAGCAGCCAAGAGGAAGGGCGGCAGAGGGAGGGAGGGTCTGAGAAACCCAGGGTTTATTTCCTAATGGGGAAAGCAGAAGGAAAGAGGGGGAGCGGCTCCAGGGGAAAAGCAAGGGCTCTGAGGTGTTCCTGAGCCTCACCTGTGGGGGGGTTTGTGGGGGGGGGGCACCACCTTTGCCTTGGAATTGAGGGAGAGGGTAGATGTGAGAATAAACCTCTGTTTCTTTCCCACCTTGGGCTTATAACCTTTGCGTGATCCTTGACTTTCTCATCTAATGGAAAATACCGTTGGCTCTTTCTCCAAATGTATCCGGGTGAATCACTTCTTGCTGCCTCGGCTATTCTGCAGAACTAAGCTCTGGGTTAGTGACTGCAGGTGTGTCCAATTTTATCTGAATGCTTGTGCTCCTACCCTCGCCCACCTTCATCTCAGTATGTTCTCCAGATGGCAGCCTGGGCGGCCCTTTTAAAAAATTAAATCTCCCTGTTCTTAGCTTAAAACCTACAGGAACTCCCAAGTCTTAAAGTAAAAGCTTAAAGTCCCCGAAATGGCCTGCTCTGGGCCCTGATAGTGTAGATGGGGGTCTGAGAACCCGAGACCTACCTAAGAAACCGCCCCCCCCACACACACACTTCTCTCCGGCAAGGTGACCTGGGGGCTCTTTCCCTAGGACACCTGTTCTCCACCTGGAATTTGTCCAAAGCACTTAAGTGCTCAAGTGTCAGTAATTATCTTGATGAACAGCACCTACCCTGTTTACCTTATTTTAAATAGCAACTTTCCAGCCCTTGCAAACACTTCCCATAGTCCCTTCCCTGGCCTTTGTCTGGAGCATATATCCCTGGCACATGGTAGATACCCCAGTGAAAGACCCAGCACCCCAAATGCAATCTTTAAGAAGCAATGGATGTGGCCCGGCGGGCTGTGGCTCAGTGGTTAAGCATCGACCTATGATCCAAGAGATTTTGGTTTGATTCCCGGTCGGGGCACGTGCCCGGGTTGCGGGCTCGATCCCCAGGTTGGGGGGCGGGGTGCAGGAGGCAGCTGATCAAGGTGCATCATGGATGTTTCTCCCTCTCTGAAATCAATACTTAACCAGAAAAAACCCTCGAAGGGTAACAGACTGACATGCAGGGAGAAAATGAAAAAATTCAAAACAGGCTACCTAGAANAAAACCAGAAAAAAAAACCCTCGAAGGGTAACAGACTGACATGCAGGGAGAAAATGAAAAAATTCAAAACAGGCTACCTAGAATAAAACTCAAATCTTGGATCATCTTAAGAAAAAGCAATGGATGTGAAGGTAGCTTTGTGAACTAAAGGCTGTAGAAGTCTTGTCTTTGTACAAGATGGTGTGATTTCTAAAGCAGTAAATGCAAACAAGCGGGGCAGTAGCTATCCTGAGAAACCAGGATTTGGTGATCAGACCTTAGTGGGGCTGTTAAGAGCAGGTGTGAAAACTTAAGTTCACTCCTAGAGCATTTGTGATGGGACTGACTTGGGCGTAAAACTAAGGCACCAACCTCTAGCCTCTACTAAGCTCCTAACCCTTAATGTAGGTGCATAAAGCCTTGGACTTAAAGCTGTTCAAAACGAGACTATTAAGCAAATCAATGTCTCATATTGATGTTTCTCTCTCCCTTCTACGCTCTGAAAATCAATGGGAAAAACCTCGGTGAGTTAACTTTTTAATCCTCACCTGTCTGCACTCTATCTCATCAGCAATGTTCAGACAAGCACGTGTATACTCGTGACCGATTGTTATAGAAGCTAGGAAAACTCCAGGGTGAGCAGAATAGGGAGAACTGAGACATAAATAAACAGCAGTGTGCAGCCTCCTAGTAAATCCTATCTTTCCTAAACTAGGGACACTCAAGAGTAAATGGTTTTTTGTTGCCTGGCCGGTCGTGGCTCAGTGCTTGAGCATTGACCTAGGATCCAGGAGATTGGGGTTCGATTCCCAGTCAGGGCACGTGCCCGGGTTGCAGGTTCGATCCACAGTTGGGGGGGCGAGCAGGAGGCAGCTGATCAATGACTCATCATTGATGTTTCCCTCTCCCTCAAGTCAAATATATTTTTTAAAAATTTCTATAAGTAGTAAATGGCTTGCATTTCTCCTCCCCAGCCAGAGGGTAAATAGCTTAAATCACAAGATTCAGAGAGACAGGTAAATCCAATTAGTGCCATTTGCCAACCACACCCAAGGACGAATGAAGTTGAGAGTAAATCTCATCTTGGTATAGCAACATAAAACCGATGAATATCCTATTGATCCTACCCTAAAACCTCCCCTAAACGCCCGAGCTTTAAAAATATCTGAAAAGGAAGGTCCCAAGGTATGCCCACCCTCCACCAGGGAAGCACGCTAGCACCATCTTCTCTTCCATCTGAGACTCAACCAGGGGAGCAATGGGTAGCAGCAGCTCGTCCCGGGCTTACCCCCTGAACCTGTCTCCAAGGCCCCCTTTTCCCTTTCCTCTGGCTTCCCGGGGAGCCAAAGCAGCCCAGCCTCTCCTGTTGCCCCTTCTCTGCCCGCCCTTGTTTCATTGACCCAAGTACATTTTTGCTTCAGCCAACAAATTCTTGCTTTCTTCACTTGAGGGAAAGATTTCAATCGAGACAAAGAACCGAGGTCTCCCAGGCTCCCTGATAACAGGGTCCGCAAGGTGTTTAACATAACCTCAGAGAGCGTGCCCTCAGTCTTCAGTGGAGACCCTGGAAGGTCTTGACCCCACTGATTCACTGCTCTACACGTCAGCCCAGGCACTTCTGAGCGCCTCACCTATAGCCAACTGCCTGCCTGGCATCTCGGAATGTTGAAGGCCAGTCACTTCAACTCTCTAAAAACTATTCCCATTTACGCCTATGCCTGTTGGGTTGATCGGTCTGCCTGCCCGTTACCTGGTAAACAGCATGGGAAGGGGAACACGTGTTTTTTCAACTGTAAGGGGACCACCACGTGAGCCCAAATGAAGCTGCTGATAGGTGTCCTTGGGGAAGGAGCAACACCTGAACTTGCATTGTAAATTAGTATATTAGAAACATACTATCGGGGCAACTGCTTAAACAAATTTTTCCTTGAAGTCCTAGGCTGGCTTTGGGTAAAACGGTTTCGCAACTTGCAGAAACGTTTAGCATTGGTTTTAGGTGTGTGTACGAGGCTTTACAGCTTCCCCTTGCAGGAGGGAAATGGGTTTCAGGTCGGTTCTGCTGAGTGCTTTAGTGAAATTGAGGGCTGGGGACCTGTGGCTCTGCAGGAATCTGCCTCATCCTGAGCCTGCTTAACCTCAGAGCCCGGTTTCCTCTAACAGATAGAAAATACAGGAGACCTGGGAGGCTCCTGCTCTCAGAAGCTTCATGGGGAACAGAAAGATCAAACATGAGCAATGAACTTCTCTCCGAGGCCTTATACACCTGCTTGCTCACTTGCAACCCTCGGAGGAAAGGGGTCTCCTTCTTAAGAGTGTGGGGCAGCCGGGCCGGGTGTGGCTCAGCGGTTGAGCATCGACCTAGGATCCAGGCGATCGGAGTTCGATTCCCGGTCAGGGCACATGCCCGGGTTGTGGGCTCGATCAATGACTGATCATTGATGTTTCTGTCTGTCTCTCTCTCCCTCTTTCCTCTCTGAAATCAATAGATATTAAAAAAATCATAAAAGTGTGAGGC